TCCATAGAATCACAATAATAACCGTAACAACCACCAGCAATTGTGTCGCTCTTTACACCTTGCAAAGATGTATATGAAGAAACTGAGACCCAGAGTTTTTATCACTAGTGAACCACATAAATATCCGATTGCCCAAGTTTGCTCTCTTCCCCCTCTCTCTGAGATACCTTGAATAACCAATGATAGTGCAGAACATAGAGGTTGGAGGACAGCACACCTACGGCTCTGCGATTTCATGCCTTAGAAGAAAAAACATCATTTGTATCTTATAAGGAAAGATGTCATATTTTGCTCTAAAATCTGCCTGGTGATGAGGCAAAGAGAAACATTTTGGCCATTCTGAGGACTTGATCACAGGAGAGTGAGCATTCTGTGTCAGAAATATCATTCTTTCCATCCTCTCGACACTTGATGAGGATCCGGGTCTGCTTTCCTTTGCTTTCGTGCCAATAGAGCTCGTTTCCGTATCATTGTTCTGGAAACTTTCATGTCCATGCGGATCTTTTCCTCTTCCCACTCATTCAGAGGCCATCCTCTCCCCCGCTCCCCTGCCCTTTCCTCATCCTTGTCGGAATCTCAGGAATCTCAAGATCTGCGTGGGTAGCCATCATAGGTTACGCCTATGGCCCTGGAGTAATTATTTATAGTGTCCCAAGTTTGGAAATAAATTATATGATCACCCTAAAATCTTCCAGTGTTTTAGCCACACTGCCTCTCTCCTCAGTGGTCAGCTGTTGCCTCGTTTGTCTTGCTCTCACCCACTGCCTGCCACCCTCCTTGAGGACATCCCCTCACAAATCATTAACTACCTGCCCCTCAGTTCGGGCCCCACCACTCATGGATGCCATCTTGACTCATACATCGTATCAGTGTTCCGTAGACGTTGGTTGGGAACCTCCTGGGAGCTGAGCACTGCCTTTACTCTAAGAGTGATTTTCAACTGGTGTGCCACAAGAATTTTTTAAACCTGCAACATCTGACTACTTAGTCAGGGGCACTGACCTCTTTTCCCTTAGATTGTCAAATAAAAAAAATGACAACAGCCAACACAACAGTTGCTAGCTGGTGTGAATGAAACAAAATTATACCTATTTTTGTGTCAGCACGGTGAAAAATACATATTTTTGGTGTGCTGCAAAATTTTAGTAATTAGTTTATGTGTGCCATGAGATGAAAAAGGTAGAAAATCACTGCTCTAAGCACCAATTCTTGAGTGTTTTGTTCTGTGGCCCGCTTCCCACTCCTTGTCTTTGCTTTCTTCACACTTGGTGATTTTGCCCTTGACCTTTCTCATCACCTCAGTTCTTGCCCTCATTCTCTCCTTCCAGGTTGCCCAGCTTCTCTGGGTCCCACTTGTTTTGAAATCCGGCCTGGCACTCTTGCTGGTGTTTCTGTGCCATATCGATCCACTGTGTCCGCATCTCCTGCTAGGCTCTGAGCTTGGGAGCCCCATGAGGACACGATGATTTTCTTTTTCTCCCTGAATTCTTCTCCTATGTTCCGTATTTCACGTCCCCAGTAAATAAATTGAATTTGCTGCTCTTTTACATTTTGGGAAGCACAGCCCTCGTCCTCATAATTCTCTCTTCATCTCTGCCATCAAAGGCTAGTTGTTTTGTCTGGTTTGTTGAGGAGGACTTATTTTCACTTCTCATTTTGCTGTCAAAATTGTTTCTGTTTCCCTTAAATTAGCTTCTTTTGCTAGAAAAAAAAAATATGCCTTGGTTCTCTGTACGTCTCCATCCCACTGCCGGCACCTGGCCCTGCGGCTGTTTTCTGTCCTGCAGCAGGCTCGTATTTTCACTTTTCTCAGTATTCTAAATCACGTTGCAGTTTTCTTTTTTGAATGTGCTTATCTCATCCATGAGCCTTGTGTTTGTTCTTATACTAATCAGAACAATTAGATTGTCTTTTAGCTTGTTCTTTCTCTCTCTTACCTTGAATTACACAACATAATTAGCACTGTTAGTGTTTTCCTTAAGAAGCAAAGTATAGATGAGCCATTCACCACTGATGGGAGATATAATCACTATAATGTGATATGCACTGTTTTTCCCCCGTAGGCATGCATCAGTTCTAAAGTTATCCCGGATATGCTTTTGCTTATTAAAATTGTCATTATTTTCTCTCATACGTGAAGCAAAAGGCTTCATTACAGTGGTTCTTGGGTTGCTGTTTGCATAAGGTAAGACGAAGCATGGATTTGCACCTTTTGGAACGTTTGAAAGTCTTTTTTTTTTTTTAATTAAATGTACTGGGGTTTCAATTTACATACGTTTCAAGTATACCACCCAAAGTCAAATCACCTTTTAAAAGAAATGTAGCAATAAACAATAATTGAGTGCCTTTTGTGGGCATAATTCTGTAGCAAATGACCAGAAATGAATGTGAAGGGAAGTCCAGTCCTCACATAAGCAAGCCCTTCACACATGAAAAGACTTAAGATTATTTGAAAAGCTATTGATGATTCTCTCGTCTTTGGTACCAGATCTCTTGGTTGATACCTGTTACCAAAAAAGGACCTTGTATAAGATTGTGTGTCTGCCTTTCGTGTAAATCTCTAAGCTCACTGGGGTTAGGGATCATGGTCTCTGCATGTTTAATGTTCGATGCCTACAGAGGAACTTAAGTATATTTCGCATTTAATAGCGATCTGTTGAATTGAATATCGTGAAGTGCAAATTAGCACAGTTAGAGTGTTAGAGAAAAGATAAAGCATTCATCATAGTCACCTTCCTAAAGGTGAGTTTCAAATGGGTTTTGAAGATGAGAAGGACTTGTCCAGAAAAAGAGGAGGAAAAAAAATGTGCTAGGCATTTCCTCAGAAGCAGATCCTTGTAGCTGAAAACAATTTCTAACAATTAATAGTAAACTAATTCCAGCCCCATAAACATTTCTAGTATTGTTCATGACATAACATGTCAAGGTTAGAAGAACTTCAGAAACCATCATCACATACTGCCACCATCACCTGTTTGTGAATCCCTTCTTTGGGGACTGATGCTACACTGTCTAACGGGTGTGACGTGATTAGGACCAGAATTCTTACCTGGACTTCTCAAGGTTATTTTCCAAGGAAGATAAGCATGCCCTTGTGTTAGAAGTCTTTTGAACCTTATATTGTTGGGTAAATCTGAACTTGATTGCTTCAAGTGTCTGTTTTGTGTTGTTGGCTGGGAGTAGAATTTAGAGTCTGTGATTAATGACCCATTTCTAAAACCCACATTCTCTTCTGAAAGTTTGGTTTATCCTTGTAACAGAAACCACTGGGGAAAGGGATGGTGGTGGTCACTTCTCACCTGAGATGGGCCTGATGTTAACTTGTGTAGAAGCATCGCGAGTTAAGTTATGCAGAGGCTATCTTGTCCTGCAGCAGTCCAAGTATTACACTGCAGGAGATCACAGAACTCAGGGTTACAAAGAGTCTTCACTGATTCCACAAAGATTGATTATATTTGGCACTGTGCAATGGGCTGGGGATTTAATGGTGAAGCTTCAGATGTGTTCTTCACCTTGCTGGAATATATGATCTAGCAAGGCACAAGTGAGCTCCATAAGCCATTGGCTCTCCAGGGCCCAACAGCCAAGTCCTAGGCCAGCTGCACATCTGTTGCTTGGACCCTTCCCCTACCCCATGGTGTTATATAGGACCCTGAGTAGGTCTCTCCATGAGCCCTGAGCATGATCTCCTCACTTTCTTGAGCATTTCCTGTTTCAGGTATAACTTTATTTTTTTAAACGTTTTAATTATCCCCCCTTTATTGATTTTAGAGAGAGAGGAAGTGAGAGGGAGAGAGAAAAAGAAACATCAATTGGCTGCTTCTTGCATGCCCTCCATTAGGGATCGGGCACACCACCTGGGCATGTGTCCTGACCGGGAATCAAACTGGCAACCTATTAGTGCATGGGTTGACGCTCTACCACTGAGCCACACCGGCCAGGCTCAGATGTAACTTTAAAAGTCCTCCGTGTTCCTAGTATTTCTTGAAAGCCTTTGTTCATTTTGGGCTTTAGCTGAAAGTTGTTGATACAGTCTGAGGATGCACACTTGACGGTGCTGTGTATATTGTACATACACTGGGAAGGAAGAAATGCCCGAGGGAGGAGGTTTACAACAGGCCAGGTGAGTCTCAGAGTGGAGTGGTGGAAGTGGAATTGGACCCAGAGGACCAAAGTGAGATAGGTTATAAAACCAGAACAAACCAGACTTCCAGCCAATTGGATATGGGGGAAAATAGAAGTGGCTTTGTGGCCTAAGGAGAACCATGAGGCCAGTAGGCTCAGGATGGAAGTTTGGCAAAGGTCGGCTCTTGCTCTCTCCTTAGTACCCGGCACAGAGTAGGCACTCAGTAAATGTTTGACGCGCGAATGAACAGAATAGGGATTACTCAAAGGGAAGCAGGTTTGATCTGGAAAATAAAATGGATTTACTCATTCATTTAGTAAGCAAATACTGAGTTCTGTACGGTGAGGGAAAGGCTTTTCATGTTGAGAACTGTGTGCCATCAACATTGAAAGAAGGTGAAGGACAGCGGTGCTTTAATGAGTTTGCGGAAAGTATGATTTTTCTTCTGCTTGGCTGCCTGTCGGAAAGCCCTCTTTAATTTCCACAAGCTTTGTGACAAGCTAATCAAATAGGACATTTGTGCGTGTGATATTTTCTAAAGAACATTTGCAGTTAATGAAATATTTGTATTTCAGTAAAATTAAAATGAAGACAATACATATCTTCAAAATATTTGTAGGGGAAAAAAAAAGATCATTTTGATTCAAGGCATCTAAAAGCAGCAATGGGTTTTGAGTCCCAGCCAGAAACTCTAGCACACTTAAGCTTTTGTTCTCCCATTTGACTTTGGGGTTTGTGCTGATGACTGTCTTAGTAACCATTGTCGCATGGATAGCGGCCTCAAGGAAAGGGCCTCACTCTCTCTACAAGTGATGTCAGACCTCTCTGGAGCGTGCTTGCGCCATTTCTCACTCTCTGCTCTCCTGTTTCCTAGGATTGCATCGATGTAGGCTGGTGGGAAGGAGAGCTCAACGGCAGACGAGGAGTGTTCCCTGATAACTTCGTGAAGTTGCTTCCACCGGACTTTGAAAAGGAGGGGAATGTAAGTCTTCATGGATTTGATCTCAGTTTCCTCATCTGTCAGCTGGAAACAGTGATCCTTATTGTAGGGTTGTTGCGTAATGTGTTTAAAGCACTGGTTATAGTACCTGCACATTTAAGCACCCAAACAGATGGCAAGAACCCTTGGGTGCTCCATTTGGTAAGTGGACTGCCAGCATCCATGTAGCAGCAGGTCCTTGGGACCGATGAAGTGGCCAAAAAACATATTGTGAAGCTGAGGATGCAGAGCGAGTCCTGCTAATCTTATACTCTGTGTGTATATGCACATATATGGACATGAATACACACACACATTCATATATGTATATATACACACCTCTGCTCTGTGCTTTCTCTCTCTTTGTGGAGACCCATTGTATGATGCCATTGTTTAAATGAGCCAGTCCATCTTTGTCTGCCTCACTTCCGGTGTATTGTTTTTCTGCTGATAATCTAACAAGAAATGTTGAAAAGTTAGAAGCACTTTACATTATAAGAGGGCAGCGATTTGGTCTTACCCATCCTTTCTGCACCTCAGGGCTCTTTGCTCAGGCTTTCACGTGACTTCTTCCTGCCTTTCTTGACTGAGGCCCTCTTCAAGCCCATGAGGGCTCTATTACTGGACCATGAACTTGACCATGACCCATCACCATTCCCATTGACCTGAGGTTCGGAAAGGATAGCTACAATACTGGAGGATTAGTTACCAAGGACACTAAAAAGCATTGATGGTATATGTGCTGCTTAGATGAATGGATGTAATTATTCAAGAAGCTAGATGGCGTCAGTGCCCACCAAGATTATGCCCCATAGTTTTTTAGATTGGTTTGAAGCCTAGGACCACACCCTTTAGGCTTTTTGTAGCGCACTTTCTTGTATCATTTAGCTAAAGGATGTTCTGTTCCACACCTATTATTCTCTCTTGAAATTTAGTTTGGGGTCCAGAGAATCTAGATTTTGCTTCCGAGTGTTTTCTAGATCCTTGGTACTTGTTGCTGGTCCATGGACTACACTTTATCAGCATTACCTGTAGCTTGTTAGAAATACTCAGACCTCACCCTAGACCTGGTGCATCAGAACCTGCATTTTAACAAGATCCTCAGGTGATCTGTTTGCACATTCGTGTGGGAAATGCTGGTATAGAAGCAGTTATCTGTTTAAGTGATGACAAACCCACTTTCCAGTTCCCAGCCATAGTTTTAGGAGGGGAATAGATTCACAGAACAGAGAAGAGCTCACCCTTCGGTAAAAAAAAAAAAAAAAAAAATTCCACCAAGTAAAATCACTTGAGTCTTTTTTGTAGATGACAGTTGATCACAGTGGTGGGTTATCAGTTGACAGAATCATCCCTGACAAAAACAGATGTTAACACTTAGTCACGACTAGATAGTAAATGTTTTGAAACACTAAGACACAGGAATGAAGTTTAGCAAACATTTTTAGAGTACAGTGGTTGTGACTCTGGGCTGTAGCAGCTGATAGACTTGGGCTTGAATCCTGGCTCTGTCACTTACTTGTTCAGTTCAAGGTCAACTCACTGAATATCTCTAAGCCTCAGTATTATCATCTATAAAATTGTGAGAATAGTTGTACCTACCTTGTTGAACTGCTGAGAAGATGATCTGAGATGGTGCATATGGATTCTTTAACACAGTACCTGGTACTTGATAAATGTTCCATACGTGTGAACTATTCTAGTCTTTGTCATTACTATTACCACAAGTGTGGGAAGGCTCCAGCTAAAACTGTGCAGTAACAATAGAAATCTGACTGGTTCTTTTTGCTTCAGTTGGTCAAGTCAACACAGTATTATCTTGGTGTCTTGGTGAGCTTCCATGGAAATCCAAATGAATCTAAGAACTTTGATAAATCGTTTTTAAAAAGAAACCTAGTGCTTTATAAAATATATTTGTAGAGCCCTGGCTGGTTTGGCCCAGTGGTTAAGAGCATCTGCCCATGGACCAAAGAGTTGTAGGTTCGATCCCAGTCAAGGGCATGTACCTTGGTTAAAATTCAATCCTAGCCCTGGTTTGGGTTGTGTGGGAGGCAACCAATCGATGTGTCTCTCTCACATCAATGTTTCTCTCTCTCTCTCTCTCTCTTTCTCTCTTGCTCCCTCCCTCCCTCCCTCCCTCCCTCCCTCCCTCTCTCCCTCCCTTCCTTCCTCTCTCCCTCCCTCCCCTTCCCTCCCATTCTATCTGAAAATCAATGGAACAATATCCTCAGGTGAGGATTAAAATAAATATATATATTTGTAGAGACAAGTGAGCACAGAATGGCTTAATCTTAGTGTTATTTCTTATATTTTTTCAGGATCTACTCTATGACAGTTATGTTTTATGTTCATTTATTCACTCTGTATTTGTCGTGTCCCTTCTCTGGGCTGGCCACCTTGCTGGCTGATGAGAAGTGAAGAGTACACACGATTGCTGCCTTGTGTGCTTAGAATCAAGCAGTGGGTCTTCTATTCAGGGCTGTAGAAACCCGTCACAGCTTTCCAAAGGGACATTGAGGGTGGGCCTCTCCCAGGGAGTAGAGGCAAGGGGGCCATCCAGACTGCCCTTCTCATCCTTCTCACTGATCTTTGCAAACCTGGTAAAAGGTGGTCACATCTGAAGCGTTTAGATGCCAAGACCTTCATGGTGACTTCTCCCTTTGACCAAGGAATGAGCAAGTATGCTGTCCTATTAGACATTTGCCGCCTTCTTGATTCTGATTGAGGTAATATCATTTTGAAGGTTAAGGTCAAGTCTGGATCGTTGTTTTAACAAATGGGCCAAGCCTGTGGTTGCCTGCATAATGGCACCCTGCCTTCTTGTTCCCAGTCGTATTCTAGTGGAGCAATAAATTCACTCAGGTGAGAGAGCTCCATGGTATGCTTTTCTAGAACCTTTGCTTTGTTACATAAGGTATTAAGGGAAGATTTCCACTGGAAGAGTGAAGTTGTCAGTGCTGAGTGGACTCATCTTGGCTTGCTTGTTGAGGCATCCATGCTTTTGGGGACCCCACGGGCATCTCTCCAACATGACACAAGCAGCCAACATCTCTTTGATAGATCTTTTAATCATATCCCTAAGAAGCAGAAAATTCAATTTTAGAGAAACAATAGCCATACCTGTCAGACCAAGTAATACCTACAGCTAAGAAGTGATTGCATAATATGGCATTTAGCTTTTAGAAAATTCAAAGTATTACATCCTTTTTGGCCTATAAAACCAGCCAACCCGCTTGGCATTGGTTGTTATACCAGCCTTGCTTGCTACATCCAGAGCAATTGGTGAGTTAGTGATGACAACGTGACTGGAGATGGGGCTGTCGTTTGCTGAGTCGACTATGTAAAGATGATTAGAATCATTAACACAAAGGCACTGTGTGAGTGACAGAGTCTGAAACATTATTCTGCCACCAGTTTCAGCAGATGTCATCTTGTCTTGCCAGTGGCTGAGGTTGCAGTCATTCACCCAGAAAAGAAGACGGTCTGTGATGATTAGGGTAGACAGCGGCAAACAGCGTGTATTCAACAGCAGACCTCTTGAATCAGTAGGCATCACTGAAGCATCCTCACAAGGCTAGTGCACTTTCTGCTGGGGTGGGGACTCAGGTGGTTACCACAGGGCCTTTCTGGAATTCTTGACGGTCTTCCTTTCAGAGAGTGCTCAACGAATTCTCTCCTACCGCGATGACAGACACTATGGGGCTTTTCCTTGCGATATTCCCGGAGGGTAGCCGTTGATCCCTTGGCACATATTTTATTTTATTTTATATTTAATTTTTTTTTTTAATCCTCACCCGAGGACATTTTTCCATATTTTGTTCAGATAGAATGAGAAGGAGAGAGAGACACATATACATCGATGTGAAAGGGACACATCGAGTGGCTGCCACTCGCACAACCCAACCAGGGCCAGGGACAAACTGCAACCGAGGTACGTGCCCTTAGCGGGAACCGAACCCGGGTCTCTCTGGACCGCAGGCCGACGCTCTAACCGCTGAGCCAAACCGGCCAGGGCCCTTGGCACATATTTTCGAGTGATTATGTAGGCTATTTATCAGAAAGCCTAAATTCAATGGTTGTGTTTATTTCGAGCCTTGACAGTAAAATTGAATATCAGAATGGATAGATTCAATCTTCTGAGAACTGTAATGAAGCAGTGCTCTGTCATTATTACTGAAGGAAAACAGGGACCGTGGGCTCTCAAGAATAGCAGAAACAACTTCCCACTGTCATTGAAGACATTAGAAGAGGTTTGCTGAAAGATTAGGTTTCTGAAAGATAGTGTTTTAAGAAAGTCTCAGGCCTCAGTACTTTGTTTTTATCCTCACCCGAGGACATTTTTCCACTTTTTGTTCAGATAGAGTGGGAGAGAGAGAGAGAAACATTGATGTGAAAAGGACACATTGAGTGGCTGCCACCCACATGACCAACCAGGGCAGGGGACAAACTGCAACCGAGGTACATGCCCTTAGCGGGAACTGAACCTGGGTCTCTCTGGACCGCAGGCCGAGGCTCTAACTGCTGAGCCAAACCAGCCAGGGCAGGCCTCAGTCCTTTTAAGAGAAACTGTTCAAATCGCCAGAGGATGTTACAGGTCTAACATGCATTGGTTTAGAGGGCTCCTCTGAGCTTGTGTTGTTTCACAAACTGGAGCGTTGCTAAGGTTCCCATAGTTTCCTTAGTGAATGCTCCACAGGGGAGGAGGGTCTGCCTCTTAGCCCCAGAAACCCACCCGGAAAGATTTCTAAACGTGCCCGTGACTGATGCACACTCACATTTGCCAACTCACAGAGATTTACTTGGGGAGCAGACTGCCAGCTTACAAATTGCAACAAGAGCAGAAACGTCAGCCTGTCTGGGACCCGTGGGTCAGCCTGCCCTGCACGTTTGTTTCCTGTGGGCCTGATTCCTCAGAAGCCAGATTCTGCAGGAAACCAGCATTTATTTGGTGCTTTCTGGGAGAGCCAGGAATGAAAGCAAGGGGAGCTAGTTGTTCTTTTTTTTTT